TAGTGCTGACAGTTTCTATACCCCTGCGGGTTGTCAGGTGTTTTGTGTGTAGATGAAGCGACTGGGGTTGGATTTTACTGACTCGACCGCTTGTCCAGAAAAGTTTTGAGGAAGCTGTTCTCGAAGCCGTGCAGAAGGAGCTGAACTCATGCACGATGGGAGGGTGCAAGGGCTGCGGAGTGCACCCTTGACTTTGAAGGATTTAACAATAAGGATTGCTGAACAGATGGTGTCAGTGTTACCCACAAAGATCATCAAGGATCTGTGACATGGAGATGTTGTTGTTCATTCTTTTTCGGGTGGCCAAAGCTACTAGGGGCTCCTAGCATCGCTACTAGTAACAAGGACGCTACTAGGGGCGCCGTTCAGTTGGCTCTCCTGGGAGCCATGTCGGGTCCGATGGCCTGGCACTTTTTCGGTGAACTTCCGAACTTCACCAGTTTGGCGCAAAGAACCGTGGCTTAGTGCACAAAGAGTTTGAATTGTGTTTCCATATCTCATGACTACCATACTACTATATACTACTATATAGTCTGATCTTTATAAGTGGCAATCCTGGAGGCGGTCCCTTTTTGCGAGGGGAGGAGTAGAAACATCTGAGTGGTTGATTTGAGTGCCAGATCTATTTTATTTGTGTTCAGGAACTAAAGTGTTCAACCTCTTTGAACACATTTGAGATCCCCTTAGTGAACGAGCTGCAAGAAGATTAGCACCTCCACTACAGCCCTGGGCAACGTTCACCTGGAACCTCCACCTGTTCCGCACTGGACGTTCGACCGTCCAGGACTTCGAGAACCGAGTGGAGCGCTACCGCGACGAGGCGCGACGGTCGAGGACCGAGGACCGAGCGAGGACCTTTTTGGGAAGGTTGGTCCATTGGTGGTTTAACATTGTAACGTCACTAAAAGTTTTCCAGGTCATTACAGTATAGTAGATAGTGTACCAGGTGGGAAGAAAGGGACGAAAAGAACATGTCGATATTCATATTCCACAAGGTGGCAAAATGTGGGTGTCATGCAATTCCTGTACATTTTTGTAATTTGCTGGTTCGTTTTGCATCCTTGGTCAAGCCTATTTGCGATGTCAGAGTTCAGAGTGTATGGACTTAGGAAGAAGAACTCGGCCAGACCCACCGCCCTCCGCTCGCCGCGTTTATGCCTGGAGCAGGGTGCCTTGAAGGCGTCCGCTCGCTAGCCTATAGGCATCACCCCTTCTTGTGACGGGTAGTCGGCATGTTTGTGTTTAAGCACCAACACGACCCGATTTGGGATACTGGTTCTTGGTACAATAATACTCCCAAAGAAGGGTGTAGTACTTTTATTCAGAGGAAGAGTTCTGTTTGAGGCTGGATTCCAGTGTTGCTCAAACCCCAAAAGATCTCAAACGTATCAGATTTGTTCTCGTTCCAGTTTCGTGAAGAGCTGTAGCTTCCCAATAGCTGTGGTTTCCCCAATGTCCGCGTCGCCGCGTCGAGAAGCGTTTCGACGCGTTCGTGGCTTCGTTTCCGTAGGTGCAGTATCTTCGGCAAAAGTGCGATGAAAAGGACGCTCCGTTTTCGGGTGCGATGAAAACGAGGGTTCAGTGGATTTCAGATATCTATGTTTTGTTGAACCTTTTACTTGGGAGGATTTTTCACACTTTGACTTTCATATTCTGTTTGTAAGTGAGTTGAAACCAAGCAGGATTCCCCGCAAGGGACAACCAGGCACAGACTGACTTCGGCAGGGCTGGCTTGGTGTAGCCTGTTGAGATTCCAGACATCAAATTCTCATAGTTCTCCTAGACGTTGATGGTGAATTGCATGAAGTTTTTTCTTTGAGAACAACATCGGAAGCCTATAGGTTTCCTAAACTGAAAGTGGTCTTCAAAGCAGTTCTGTGGAAGCTCCAGGCAGGATGTCAAGTCCGCAAGTGTTCGGTTGCGGCCCTTACGCCCTTTGCATCACTTTGCAATGTCAAACGATCGATCAAAATCATTGCCTCGCCAGCTCTAAAAGAATTGGTGCATCTTGCAGCAACTGTCAACCTTTCTTGAAGTGTGCTGTCCTGGATTTTACTTATTGTTTGCAAACATGACGTCTCGACAGAGTGGGATTCCCAAACTATCCATATATAGTTACATGGATGGTTCATACATGCAGTAATGTACATACCCTATTCCAGTCGACCAGTCTCCTATACGTAGTTCTTTTTGACCGCTTTAAAGTATATTTTACAATGGTCTTATCAATCTGATCCTCAGATCCTCAAAAGGAATCGGCACGAAGTACGAAGTGTGCGTGCACTGAACAGCCACTCCAGGAGCGCCGCTGTGAGCAGTTGATGGCCGAGAAGGGCGCCCTTTCAGTGCCGCCGGCCTCGATCTCCGTTCCGCCACTCCGGATCGCTTGAACGCACAGACCGGGAGAAGATCCAGTCGTTCTTAGGTAGGTGAGTCGAGTCGGGTGGAAGGCTTTGCTGAAGTAAATGGTCCCCGTGATATTAGGGGGGAGGCCATCGCTACTAGGGTGGAGGCCATCGCTACTAGTAGCTAGAAGCTACTAGGTTGGAGGCCTCTTTTATTTTGTGGCCAGATCCTTTGATCTTCCAAGTTGTGACACTAATTCGTCTTGGGTCGAGATGCTCGGATGGAAGAGCTGGTCGCAACGATTGGGGCAGTCTTTGGGGTTAAGGATGAGAGCTCCAAGGTTGAAAGTTGCTAAGACGTTTAAATGGTGATCAGAAACTGTGTAAAACTGGCGTTGAATGCTATGGTCTTAGCGATGGCCTCCACCCTAATAGCGATGGCCTCCAACATAGCGGCCTACCCCCCTTCCTAAAAAACGGACAGTGGCTGCTCTTTGCGTGTATATGCATCCCACTCAGCGAGGGAAAGGCTTAGCACCCATCGGCCTGTGCGGTCTTGGCTCCAGGCTGACGGAATATGTAGATTCAGAACGGCAATGTAGCAAAGGAATCGGAACAATTCAGAACATATTGAAAGAAGCGGAGAACTTGGAAAGTGATCGAACAAGTGAGAGAATGCCATGAAAATGCCTTCGCTGACTCAGAAGCAAGATGTTGTTCGATTTTATGTCCAATTGCATTTGTTCTTGTGGTTCTTTGGATTTGGTTCTATCGACCGAGATATCATACCGATCTCGGCAAGGCCGTTGGGTTTCAGAGCGAATCTGTGTATAGTGAAATAGGGAGACCTCCTAAAGACTCCACGGAAGAAGCATAGGCCAAAACCCGTTGGTTGGGTGTCCCTATTAAAGTATACTACTGACTAGAAACTTAGGACTTGTCGGACATACACGCCAATTCCAAAAGCCTATGTCATCAGGATTGATCCAACATTGGCATTTCCTCTTAAGGCCTATGTCATCAGGCCACAACCATGATATTCAGAGAAATATGTATGAGGTATTCAAGGAAGCAGCGCCCGCAAAAACACATAGTCGCACCCTATGTCACCACTGTGTCACCAGGGTGCCAGGCAGTGGTATCTAGCATTATTTAGCTGTTTTTTTTGGCCTTTTTTTGTCGAGGAGGTGTCCACAGGTCCTATGACACCAGGTTTCCCAACCCAGACATTTTTTTTTGCTCGATATGTCAGGGCACATGACTTAGCACTGGGGGTAGCCAGATTGGTATGTCACTTGCATCACGTTGGCCTAAGTCATTAGACAGTAGTATACTCACATTTTAAATGTATACCACAATCTATTACAATAAAATGTCTTTTGGGTGGTGAAGAGGAGCGATGACTTCTGATGATGAAAGGTTGCGTAAGGATGTTTGATGTGGTGAAGTGTAGTGTCGTGATAACTTATTTGGTAAAATGTATTGCTGTGAAGAGTGTAATTTGTGATGTGGTGAAAAGTGTGTGTGTGTGTGTATATGTGTCACACCCCGTCCTATCACACGCAACGAAGCTGTGGATAAGAGTGGGAAGGGAAACTTAGCCAGTTTCCTGTACCTGCCGCGGTTTTCAACTTCTGCCCAAGATGTTCACTCCACTCTCCCGCAAAGGTCTAATGCAGCCGCTGCGTCGCTTGTTGTTGCAGCTGATGTTCAATCATCTTTAAATGCGCCGATCCTTCACGTTTCCTTTTGCACTAACTACACAGTCAAGGAAGCTGCGTAACTGAGTTCCACTGGACATTATGTTCCCTCACCGGAACTTTGAGTCTAAGTGTATATGTTTATGGTTGTTTTGTTTTTGTTTTAATGTGGAGATGTATTGTTGCTTGAGCATCTCTACTCTTTGATGCGTTTCTCATGAAGTCTCCACACTTCGTTATTCTGGTTTCCGCAGCCCGGACAATGCGCTTTGCAGTTGTCCATCCTCTTATTTTGAATGAAGCTGCGCGACACTCTATCACCCTCCGCCATTTCGGAAGCCTTTGCTGTTTCCCAGTGCCAGCCTGCGCAAGTGACCACCCTGGAGTGCCCTATAAGGGTCCTCAGGGTCGGTCACCAGCACGGCGACCGTCCATCGACGCACCGGACGGCACTCTGGAAAGCGCACGCATTCCTCGTTGTTCAGCACTCATTCACTCGTAACACCAAGTGCGCGCAGTGCGAGACATATCACATAATTATGTAACTCGGACCTTTCTCATTCAAACTTCTCACGACAATGAAATAGAGACCGAAACACTACATCGCACCGAGTTGACATCGCTAGTCGAGCATAGCTGTTGCATCGTAAACTGATCTAAGAAACCAGGAGTTGATGACGGCAACCACCATATACAGTTGGCCAGTGGGGGTCGCTCCCCTGTAACTTGAGACCAGAAGACCGCATATATGTCATGCTGTAGACCTAAGGATGCAAAGAGTGGTCCTTTGAAAGTCACAGTTTCTATGGCCTACAGCTTTATGTAAATAGACGATAAGCTTAGATTTGCTTCTCTACAGCCGAACCCGCAGAAGCTTCTAGGTGAGCAGAACCCCATCGGTGACGTGGTTCGGGACAAAACGTGGTTCCCATTGCAACGCCAAACCCGGCGAGTCATGTTGATCGAGCCCCTCCGAACTGGCTCCAATGCGCGGGATCCAAGCAGAGCTTGATCTGGAGATGGAAAGTTGGTAGCAATCATGCTGATGTGATGTTCAACCTAACCTAGTAGCGATGGCCTCCATCCTGGTAGCAATCATGTTGATGTGATGTTGATTCATGATGTTGTAGAAAGACCTTTAGGCCTTGCTTCTGAGTGTTGGTCCATGTTTTCTGGCCATAGGTTCATGCTTAGCCTTGCCAACCTTGGGACTGACAACTATAAGTACTACAACCATCTACAACCCATCATTAGACCATTGTTTGGATAGGAACAAATGCATAGTTTGGGTGGCTGGTGGTCCAAAGGTCAGTCAGGTTCCAGGTGGCAAAACAAATCGGATTACTTGGCATCCACTAGATGTTGAGTCCCGTCAAACCTTGTGCCAGGGACTCTGGGATGTTTGGGGTATGACATTTTTTGTATGAGAATGTGTTCGAATGCATCAACCAAGATCTTCCCAATGTTCTCTCCATCTTATTTTGCGGTTGGAAAATACTTGGAGTGCAAGCGGTGCCCTTAGTTTGCTGCAAACCTATAGAAAGTGATTCAGTTCAAGACTCCTAGCCGAGGACATCTTGCTATGATGGACTTGTGAACAGATGCTGTAGTTGAGGTGGACATAAAACCCACTTTGCGAGCCTACAGATCAGTTGGAGCACTTCAAAGAAGCCGATATTGCAGTTTCCACAAAAGTTTGTGAGTGTGATAAACTGGACCAACACCATCTTGTGGCTCTGGTGTCGAATGATGCAAGATCCTGCCAAAGGCTTTGGCTTAAAGACCGCCGACGACTTCAAAAGAATCCTCTAGGTCTGGTGCGCAAAAAGGCGATGCAAAAGCAGACAACAGGATGAGATCAACCTCTAGAAATAGTTCCGGCCTTCCTCCTGAGCCTGGTTACTAACCACCCATGGACGACTGCCATGTGGTTTTTCTGAACCGAGCCCAAACAATTCTGTCCTGGGCCATCATTCACTTGGCATCCCTTGGCTACATCCTCCAGCTTTGCTGGATGCTATAGGTAGTTATCTCATCACATCCTGTAACTTTCCTATTGTGCCTATGGTATCCCATTCACAGGCTGGAACATGGCATGCTGGAACATGCCTGGCGGCGGTTCCCAAGTAGAACCCACCTGTTTGGTATATGTTGGGTCTGTCCTATTGCTTGTAACAGTCAGCAAAAAACTTACCACTATTTTTATAGAGAAAGGCCTTTACTAACCATCATCATTCATCATACACTGTTACAGGCAATAGGATAGACATGCACCGACCCAAGGTATACGGAAAATGGTCATCCGAACTTGGAGTCCATGCCATCCACGTAACCTCCTGTTGCCAACCTTCCGGTGGCCCGGACGGGATGCGAGCTCAGGCCATTCGAAGGGTCACGCCCGGCCGCCCGGGTGCGAAAAGATGGGGCTTGGCTGAGAAGGGAGAGTTTAGTTTGGAGGCTGTAACAAGGACAACTATTAGCGTCCTTGCTCCTAGTAGCGATGCCCTTTGCTCCTAGTAGCGAACATTGCTCCTAGTAGTAAGGCCAGGAGCCCCTAGTAGCGTTCTTGCTCCTAGTAGTAACAAGGACAACTAGCTAGCATATTAGCATCATCTTTGCCAAGACACACTCCGACTCTATGGGCAGTGGTTGGATGGTTTACTTTGTGCAGCTTTGGTTAAACGGGCTCAATGTAGGCGGATGTATAGGAGGAGTATAGTCCCGTTCATTTCGGGAATATTGGATTGTGTTTATCCTAGTACCTTCAATCGTTGGAGAAGGGTTGCTACCGTTGCCTAACACAAAACTTTTTCCCCGAACTTCCTAAAGCTATAATTTACTGCAAGCAGCTAGCAACTTGTAGCACGGGTTCTAGTAGCTGCGGATAGCTGTGGTCTTCTGGGAAAAACATAGGAGGAAGATGATCGAGCATTTCAACGATGCATGAAGGGCCATGCAGACAAGTTGTGTGGAGTATCAGATTGCAACTTGCGTTTTGCTTGCCTGGCAGCTAGCGGCTTAGCATTATTCACCCAGCCATCACACGATGTAAAAGAACAATGTGCAAGTGCCAACTGCGCGGACTGGCACTAAGGCAGTGGCCGTGGCTAGGTCAAGTGAGAGGCAGGATGTGTCTTGGTGTTCGATTGTGTGGAGGTTTGGGTAACTAGGAGGTTGTAGGCAGTCAGCTGCCAAGCCTCAATGAAATTAAAAACATAGCCTGTGAATACAGGGGCAGCACACCTAAGTAACGCCGTACTTGCACACCAACAAGTGAAAACGCAGCTCCCAACCTTTAGAGAAGGCAGTGGAATAATGGTCCAAAAAGCAAAGTAGAAAAGCAGCAAATTGCCAGATTCCGTGGGAAGCTACACTGCGGTGCACCGTCCAGATGCCCCGAACTGGAAGTGCCACAGTGCCCAGCCGGTGGGTCGAGGCAGAGGCCCAGGCACTGGCCCAGCCGCAGAGCTAGTCATGCACCCTGCTTCACCTCAGTTGGATTCAGTTGACGAGTGAAATGGTCAAATTCACCTTGAAACATCACAGTCACAGTCAAACCTTCACATCTCCACCAACACCCCCCAATAGGACTGAAACATGTTCCAACTTTTTGAGTCATCCATGGTCGCGGTGGAAGACATTGAAGGCACCGAGCCTGGTGAACATATCTCTCCGCGCATCAGATCCATCCCCCATCGCAGGTCCAAAGGATCCATTAGAGGTCCTCGGGTTGAACAACTTGGTTTGTGGTTGTTGCCAGCCAGTTGAGTAGCATAAACATTTTGTTGGGGGCAGACTGGGGACAAAAAGGAATAAATCTGAATCAGGTTCAGATTATTTTGGTTTGTGCACGGGCTTCAGGAATTCTGGAGCGCTGTAATTATGGATCAACCTTACTCATTGTCCCAACACGGCATGTGAAGAAGGTACGCAAGTGTGGCTCGCAAAATAGTATTCACATGAAATTAGGGCAGGAAGGCACTCAAAACCAAATTTGCAAGCAACGTGTCCAAACTACCAATGGTTCCAAAATCAAACCTAACCAAACAGTGGCAGGAATGACCGTGTTGTGGACTTGAAATCTCACCGATGCTCGGTTGCGCAAGGTCCAGGCTGGGGATGTAAACAGGCAAAATGTAAAAGGGCCATTTAAAAAAACAAGCCATATATGCCGACGTATGTGGACAGCAGAATTGATTTGTGGGTTTGTTTCAATATGTTTAAGATAAACAAAATTGAATTGGTTTCGGGGTGAAATTGACGCAGCAACTTTAGACCCTTTTGTAAGACCGGTGGTTTGGCCAACGAACTCGCAGGTTTGAATCGCGCCTGCGGTTTGGTTGGGCCCCAAGATCAAGCAAAGTGCAGGATTTGCTGCTAAGTAGCAAGCCGGGTGGCATACCGCGAGTGTTGTGTCATATGTTGATGTGTATGTGTGTTCTTGTAGGTTCCATGGAGTTGATGGGTTGGATGGGCAAAAACTCTAAAATGAAGCCATGAAATATCTTGCGATCGAATTTGACCATGGATGTTGGGAATGCACGGATCTCAGATCTCCTCTCTCGAATCTCGGATCTGGAATCTCGAATCCCGGATCTCATTGTCAAGTGCGCTCTGGAAATATGTTAGCCTGCAGGAGCCAGCAAACATGGACCATGTGGGCATAGGCGAACAGCACAAACTGCTTGAAATCACGTTTCTTTGGTTTCTTGAACCGGATGATGACACCCATCCAGTCCTGTCCAATGGGTCCCAGCTGCTCAGCTGGTGTTTTTGAGTCCAGATGTGTCCAGGAGCATCAAGAAACGTGTTGTGCATACCTGCATACCTGTAGTTAGGAGGTATTTATGCAAATGGATGGTTGTGAGTTTTGAATGTGAACATGTTCTTGTGACCCCACTGGCGATATATTCTCTTTAGACACGCAGACCTTCACCAGCCAGCCAGTCCCCAATTGGTCAACATCAACTCTAGAGAGTTTCGCATTGTCAGGATTTTTCCTACGGCGGCCTTCCAAAAGCACACATGAGGCTTGTCTTTTGTTGATAACAAGATGTGTGTGCTGTGCTGTGTGTGTTTGTGTGTAGTGTGGTGTGTTTTACAATGGCGTTCATCGAGACAGGCCCAGCTTGTCAGCGACCGAGGTGGGCTATCCTAATGTGGGGAAGTCCTCGCTCTTCAATGCCTTCGCAGGAGCGGTGGGTGTTTGATCCCCAAACAGTTCACTATAGTACACCAAGCCAGGCCCAACGATAGGGGCGGCAAGAGGGAGAGCAAAAGGCAACACAAAAGATGGCGTACTGAAAAATCATGCTGAAAGTGTTTGGGGTAGTGTTCGGGGTCTATGCTGGAATGACTTCCTTTTCTCCTGGGCTTTTATGAGTGATTGGGACCAGGTGACCTGATCCAACCATGTTGAGAGGCCAAACGAGTCTCCCCAACAAAACCGTCGATCAAGAGCCTTACCAAGTCCAGTTATATCGTTAGTTATTTTGATCTCTTTTCAGGCAATTCCAATCGACGTAATCATGGAACTGTCTACGGTTGTTTTGCGTATACCCCGGTCGAACTTCCTGGCTCAATTTGCAATATTTGTGCCAGGAGGGCGGCGTGTTGTTTTAAATAGGCTTTGCTGCAGGTTTCCCAACACCACTGTGTCAGGAGTCAGTTCTGTTGCACATGTAAATCAGGCATCAAGAAGGATGGTGTGTGTATGTTATATACATATATATATATTTATCATACATTGAAGTATGTTTGTTCATCATGGACTATTCTGTGCCAGAATGGCCTTGGATGATTCGATTCACTACTTCATGTGCACAACAAGTTCACAGCTTAGGCAAGTTTCACCACAAACATTTTGCGGATCTTCACCTCCCTCCTGTTTCTTCAAGTCAACAGCTGTTGCCTTTTTCAATCAGGCTCTACCCTGGCAGCGGCGGAGAACTTTCCCTTCTGCACGGTGGAGCCCAATGTGGTGAAGGTTCGACGCCTTCTGCTGCGTCGAATGGAACAGGGGGGCACTCCAGTTCGGACCGATGGTGAGGAGGTGGTTCCACAAGGAGTTCCACAAGAGTTGGCAAGATCGCCTTTGCCATTCCTTGGCCCTTCCTTGCCATGTGGGTGCGAGACCTTTGCGGCAGTTTTTTGTGGGGAGATCTGTCGAAAAACGAGGTCGGCGGAGTTGGCACGGTGCAACGTACGGACAGTTCCAACATGCAATGAGCTGTTGAGAACCGTGTAGAACCTAGGATGCTGCAGCGGTCCTCAGTTTGAGGATTCTCCTCCAACCAGGTGCATGCTGCAGTGGTCTCCTTTGGGGTTCTTTGCCGTTCACTGGTTGGTGGATGCGGGTTTAATTGTTGTTTTTGTTTGATCCTCATCGTCACTATCATCCCGAGCATTCACTCCTAAATGCGTTGCGCTAAATTTGCAGACAAAGGCAAATCCATTTCATGCTTCGCACCATCTCTAAAACGATCGGCAGGTCAAACTCTTCACTCACAGCCAGCTTGGGCAAGAGACAGTGGTTTCAATCGGTCAAAATGAGTTGAACAACAGTAGCTCAGTAGCTTCTTGTTACTAATAGTAAGAATGCTCCTAGTAGCGATGCCAGGAGCCCCTAGTAGCGTCCTTGCTCGTGAGTAGTAAGGCCAGGAGCCCCTAGTAGCTTCTTGTTAGTGGATATTTTGCCAAACTTCGGTGTCCACATGGTCTGAATTTCCCATTTCTCCGGGCGCAATCCACAGCCAGGTGGGTGTGCCCGACGATCGCTTGGCACGCTTGGCGGAGCTTTGTTCCTCGCAAAGAACTGCCTCTTGGAGAAGTGGGGCGGGTCAGCAGATGCTTTTGAAAGAGTCGGGTACCTACCCAGTCAGCGGAGAACCTTTAAGCCTTTTATGGAATCGGTTTCCCTTTTGCAGCTTTCCTTCGTGCCACATCTTATTTGGACGCTCAAATGGCTTGGTCTTGGTTCCGCCTCTGAGACGATGCAGACATGCACTCCAAGCCCAGGTAACCCCCTATTGGTCAGGTACTTCGACCAGATGTAGCCAGTCAAAAGGATAAAGATATCTCGGCAAGACACCCTGAACAGTGTTGTCCTTGAGGTCTAGAGGTCAAACTAGAGGTGTAGAAGCAGAGGGCCAAAGATGAAAACGTATTGAGATTTAGAGATGTAGAGGTCAAATGCCTAGAGATCCGGAGAGATCTAGCAGTCTATTGATCCCTGTTTTCATCGGAAAAAGCATACTATTTTTATCTATTTTTTAGGTGGTTGGTGGTCCAAACTCGAGGTCACTCAAATTCCAACTTGTGGGACCTTGCAAGAAAAAGACCATCTATACACCACCACTCAGAGCTCAAGTTGAGCCGCTTTGCAGCGCAAATCCGTCCAGTGCCCGAGGTCCCCGGGCAGCTGGAAATCCGTGATATCGCTGGACTCATCAAGGTGGCATCAATCGTTCCCAACCGCTGCCGGACAGTGTGTGCAGAATAGGGAGTCTCAGAAGGGAAATAGACGAAACAAAGCACGCACCCATATCGCTCCTTGCGGGCAAACACCTCGCGTGCATGGCATGCATGGCCTCAAAAGTGAGACGCCAGGGCGCCAGCAGCGGTGCCGGCATGGGGAATGCCTTCCTGAGCCAGATCCGGGGGGTGAACGCTCGGTGCTTGGAATCCAGGTCCGCCTGGTGGCGGGGAGATTGTGAATCGATATGCAAAGTATGAGAAGCAAGAATAAGAGACTTGAATAAGAGCTGAACTCTTAGTTAGTATATATATATGATATATGCATGCATGAATGTCATGCGCCTGAATAGTGTCCAAACTTTGCAAAACAAACCAGATCTGAAGTCTGACCCAGTTTGACCCCGTTTGACCCAGTCTGAAGAAAGACTCTTCTTGGATTCAGACCCAAAAAGACCAGGTCGTCTTCCACGTGGTTCGCTGCTTCAGCGATCAGAAGATTGTTCATGTCGAGGCGCGCCACTCACCGTGGCCGTTTTTGGGCGGGGGTCGGTGATGCCCAAGGCCACCGGAAGACGAAGCCACATCCCCAAGAGGTCAGAAGTTGCTTGAAACCCGTGGGTTTTTGTCATTTGGTTGCAGCTGTCACAGCTTCACACTTCGAGCCGTTCGTTCACAGGATCCCGTGAACATCGATCCGGTCAAGGAGTGCCCAGTTGGGGGGAGATCGCTTCTAAAATTCCGAAGAATTGGAGGACAACCCACGCCCTAGGCCCTAGTAGTGATAGTGGTGGAGTGTCATTCCCATGGAATAAAATAAGTCATTGGAAGGACAATCCACAGATTCCTTTAATGACCCTTTTGATACCTTTTGTATCCTTTTGTAACATTCTCAATTTCACCAGTCACCAGCTGTTCCCTCAAATTGTGACTCTCCAAGAAATACTGAGTCCAGTTCATGTCGACATGTTCACCTTTCTTCCGGAACGACACCGGTGGCATCAACAATTCCCCCTTCTTTGGACAGAGGGAATCACGGAGAGATCGGGGGTGGTTTGGGTCATTTTGGGTCAATTCCATTGAACACTTTGGGACCATCCACTGAGAGTCAGTTCCTATTGAATTGTCTATTTTGTCTATGTCTGAGAATCAGTTGCTTTAGTACGTTTTCTCACAAGTTTGGGAAATTAGACTATCTAATTACAGTACTGATAATCGTCATGATCCACCCTGGGTGAGGGATGGACATGTTCTGATAGGTCCTGATAAGCCCGTTGGAAGACGATTTTCCTCAGTTTTCCTCTACCAAGGGCGTGCTATCTTGGTTTTTTGTTTCTATTGTTGGAGCCTAGGGTAGCTTTTTATCAACCTTAATTTTGCTCAACATGGGAAAGATGTGCCAAGCTAAACGTTTTTTGGATCTTCCGGGAGTCGATTCCAGTCTGGCGCACGAACGGGGCTCTTGCGCACACCGAACCGCCCACTGGCACCAGCCATGAACGGCGCCCCACGTCCACAGTGAGCCGCCTGGGCACCGGAGGTACGAATCCATCCTGGAGGAGCTGATCATCGCCGACTTAGAGTCGCTTGGAGTTCCGGCGAAGGGGTAGAGACCCCCTTGGAGATCCAAGAAAGGATTGAAATAGAAGCATCAGCGGTAGCAGTTCCAGGAAATGTGTTTTTGTTGCTTTTCCGTCGCCTTTCTGTGATAAGAAGCTGGATGTTTGGGGGGATCCGCTTCGATCAAGGGTGAAGGGCTTGGAGAAATGATGAGAAATGCAAGTCGATAGACTCTAACACGGCAAATGGATGGACGGATGGATGTCCATTCAAAATTGGATTATATTTTCAGTTTCTAGGAAGATGTAGGAACCAGCACCCCTATAGCAAATTCATTTTAGATGCTACAGCAAATGATTGCAAGGCTCTATCAAGCTCCAAAAGGCGCCAGAAGTCACCTTGATATATCCGTTCATATTGAATCATGTATAATCATATCCTCAAAAGTGGCAGATGTTTGTCCTCAATCCATTGCATGTATTCTGAACGGGCACAATTTGAGGTGTTGCATCGTGTCGAATGTCCCAGTTATTGCCCCTATTTTCGGTCACGTTTTCCTCACAATCCTTATACATACCAATCCGAACGCCAAGCGAGCCGGAGGTATGCCTCCAAGCGTTTACCCGCGCTGCGGAGGAAGGCCAGAGGAACCGTTGACTGAAGCCAGACCGCCGTGCGAAGTGGGGAAGATCCGATGGGTGCAGTGCGCAAAAACATGTAAAAGCAGGTGGTAAAAACGAGGTTTGGACTCAAGAGTGATCGATTTCCCAAATTCCCTTGAAAGCTCCTCACAAGAAAAAATGCTGTGAATCTGAAGGTGCCTAGTCGGCTGTGGTCCTGGTCCTCACGATGGTTCTCAAAAACCTTCAAAGATGACGAGTTCACTCCAGCAGAGCCAGGCAACCACGAGCTCGGAGGTGGTCGGGGAAACCCGGACGCGGCGAAGCGGTTGGTCTTGGGGCGCTGGACGATGGTTGGCTCTCAAGCAGATATATATAGAGAAGTAGTAGTGAGTATAGTGCAATATGGTGCATCATATGTGATCCGAAACCAACGAAGGATGCAACTGGATGGCTGTGTGGAACATATTTGAAACAAGCAGAATGTGATGGAATGTGATGGTGCGGATGACACTCTTAAAGAAGAACGTCTTTCGCCTTTCGAGTGCAGATGAATCCATCGGGCAGAGCGCAGCTGTCGGCTGGCCAAGTTCTCTCGTTTCGGCGGCAACACCTCATGCAGCAAAAGCACAGCTGAAGCTGTACGATCAGCGCTTTAAGGGCGCTGGGCATATGTGGTTCTTAACAATTCTTAACGTGTTTGTTTGTTTTTTAACTTCGGCTGTTGCTTCGCATCTAAGACTATATATACTTGGGTTCATATAACCACGACTACTTGAGTTCATATAACCTTGATATATCAACCACGTGCAGATTTCATTCCAGACATACCAAGACTACTTGTCTAGGGCAGCAGGATTGGGTTCCCGGATCATGACCCTTTGGTTTGATTCTTCAAGGGGTTTTCCGTCGCCGTGATTTGGATTTTGTTTGTTGAAAAGTGTTGGGCGGCCGATATTAATGATTGACATGCCATGCTTGAAAGAACGTTGTTATTGAACAGCTGTGCTTGGAGCAGTCTGAAAACAATCTTTTTCAGTGCTTGAACGCCTGACTGCTTGCAGTGCTTGAAATTGACCTTTCTACTTGTGCTGCTCAGCGTGCGGAAGAAAGCCTCGTTTTTGTTGACGCTAAAATAAGTCGGCAGAGTTTGGCTGAGAACACGGCCTGCCGACGGGGCGTGAGTGGGCCATGTCAACAGACATTTGACGTGCCAGACTCGGCCAAACGATGTCGGGGTCAAAACCGAGACGGATAATGACTTGAAGTTGTGCCACCGCTCGTCTCCAAGACGGTCTAAAGACGGTCTCTACGCAGCAAACATCAGCAGGTTCCAAGCAGTTTCCGTAGAAACAGCTTGAGCACAGAATGCATGCAGGATTTCATACAAGCTCGGAGAACGATGCAACCCGTGCTGTGCTTTGTGAGTATTTGTGTGACGTCCACCATGGATACTGTTGCCACCAATTTGCACCAATTTGCAGTGGAACTGGAGGGAATCAAAGACGATCGACAATACTGCACATTGCATATTGCTGCAAAGTTGTTCTTCAGCACAACACCGCCATCACGCAGTGTGAAGTGTGGCAGCCAAACCTTCCTTAAAGAAAGAGATGTCGCTTTTTCATGGTCTGTCAATCGGCTTCCGGGTTCACCAGCCATGAACGGTATATATGGATCCCTACTGTACTGAGAACGTACGGGGAATTGTAAAAAGACAGATTTGAGGCACCTTTGGTTACTGTTTCCATGCGAATGGAAGTTTGGGTCACCTGAGCTACGTTGCCAAGGCCAAGATGCTGCCGAGCTACGAGGCGGTCTTGCAACGCCTCGAGGCGGGCCGTTCTTGCCGGAGACCACGGCGCTGGTGCTTCGGCGGCCTACGGACTCGGAGGGTTCGGACGAGCGAAGGCCAGACGCGAAGAACACTCGAAAGAGTTCATCAAGTCTTCAAGATCCGTGTTTGGGCGAAAGGGTTTGCTACAGATCTTTGCTTTGCATCCAGCAATTTGGGTCGGGAGGTGGCGCAGTACGTCCAGATTTCCAGACCTCGCCAGGCAACATGGAGCCAGTCGTTACATTCCCTTATAAGATCATCATGGGAAGCGGAAAACCACTGGATTCTACCAGAAAATGGTCATCCGAACTCGGGGCCACAAAACCATGATTTCAGGGGAGTGGAGCAGCTTCATACCATCCAATCCCTGCAGTTCAGAAACGGGGAAGTATGGCATCTGTATAAACGCAACCATGCACCTCAAGAATTGGAAGCGAAGTTGAGAGAGGTGCTCGAGGCGGAGGCCATCGAAACTCCAAGAAACTGCCAAGAACTGTGATGCAGTCTGGCGATTGCTACATTTCTTGGTGAATTTCCCAGTCGTGACCCGAGGGGTGTGAGTTGTCAGGGTGCCACTAAAAGAAAGAGTCCAGTTTCCTGAAGTTTGCTTAACTGAAGACTTTTCCAATTCATGCCCTCTCAGCCTTGCTCTCTCGGTCTTGCATGCTACAGGCTGGTGCTGCTGCACGTCACGTCACCTGGACTGGACAGTTGGCAGCTGTGCAGTGGATGTGTTCTTTTGTGGGTTTCCGTGATTCTTACAGACGGTTGAAGAAGGTCCCCCCAATCCTTGTTTGGTGCGATTCCTGTTTGGGTTGACCCTTAAGATAATTTTCATAGAACGTCCCAATCTCCGTCTTTTGCACCATGATTTGCTGGAACTCCAAGCACCAATGCATCCCACGTCGAGACAAGTCTTTTTCTCAAAAAGCAGTTCCCATGCGGAGACGGGTCTCTCCAGCCTACGTAGTGTTGTACTGTGCTCTTATGTTGCTAATTGCACATGTTTGCTCTGAACTTGAACCACTCAATCTTCAAACCCATTTGTACCTCCTGGACTCTCCTCCGATCCATCTACAGTATCTACAGTATCTCCATCTATCCGTGATCCTTCACTGACCCACCGTGCCACACCATGTCTCCCAGGCACTGCCGGAGGAGGTGTCGGGGTGCCCACACCATACTTCGGATTGCTTGGTGAGTTTTCTTTGTATAATAGTGACCTCTCCAGTGTAAATGAATGTTCTGCAACTTCTTTCCACTAGTTGTCGATGCCTTGGCCTGGGCATGTTCCGCATGATTACGTGATGATATGTGAGGATATCTATTTTTGTGCAATATATAATATGTATTTTCGATGGTGGTGCCAATCCAAAGCCCTCTCAGCTGCCCAGGCCCTCCTCCGATGAGTTCTTCACTCAATTGATCACTGCCAAACCGGTGGTTTGCCTGGCCACTTGCGACATCCAGGGGCTGCCGCAGTGTGGTGCCAGCCTTTAGTTCGTTTCGTAGTCTCAATTGGCTCGGGGCGGTGCAAGCGAATTCTTCACGTGAGGTGACGACCACCCCAGGCAGTTTTGCAACCAACAAACACCTCAAAATCAACGGCAGGAGCGGTGAGCTTTGAACGTCAAGGTCTGGCTGAAATACATTGCAAAATACATGCGATTGATGGGTCAAAGGATGAATTCCTCAGTTTCATACATATGCTTCTCCAATTATTTTATGTGAGATAGGAGGACCAGAGACACACTCCCTGGAGTCATCATGGTTACGTGGATGGCCTGGCCTCGAGAGGATGATTCCAGGGAGCGTGGCTTCAGTGGTCGCAGGAAGTGTTGCAAGAACAACCCTGCAGACAGCTTCTCGTGTTTGTTTGGGATCCGGGGCGAGAATATAGACTACATATTATCAGAAGCTCTTGGTATATTGACTCAGCCCCAAATATTGATATTCCGATCATACAACTGTTCAGACATTGGATCCAGACATGCCAGGTTTGTTGGATGATCAGAGACATGTTGCACTCCAGGAGAATCATTCATTTACAGGGCTGGTATTTGGGACTTTGACAGGATATTTCCTGAAACCCAGGATCCAGTCCAGGACCCATCCAAGGGGGCACCAATCGACTACTCCATTTACATCCATTGGATGGTCCAGGGTATATTAAGCTGCTTGGATTCTGCATCTTCCGGACTTCCAACCCAAAACGTGGCGGTGGTGCTCGCCAGGTGGTGCTCGCCAACGTGGCGGCCGAGGCGCGACTCGTTCGCCCCGTTTTGGCTCCACCGAAAACGGTGAAGACATGAGCGGGTCGACACCGGAAGGGTGTGTGAAGCAGCTGCAGGTCACCTTTGTTGGGGAGCAGCCCTCAATGAGGTGGAAAGAGAAAACTGAGGGGTTCAGGAGGATGGAACAGACCTTTGGTGATGGAACTTCCGTGCTGGACCAGTCCCTGGTCCATGTTTTGTTGGGGAGCTGGATGATTTGAGAAGAGTCAGACGTTGTGAGCAGACATGCTCAGACTATCTCAGACTCAGATCTCGACTAATGATCTTTCGTTCGGACTAGGAGATATGAACTCATGTCCACAGTCCCTCACGAAGTAGGAACCAGCCGGATCTACCCTTAGCCTCCGGCGCTGAGGACGCAGCCAATGGCAATGAGTTCTCAGTCCGCACTGATGCTCAGCTTTGTGTTGAGAGCAGAGTGTTTCGGAAGAGTTGCTTTGAGACATCACATCACTCCAATTGAGAGACCAGGGAAACAACATGAGTTGCCATATTTGCCTAGTGCCCCATGTCTTGGGAAAAATGGGGAGGCCAAGCACTCCAGGTCACATTCAGTATTAAGATTCATGGCATTATATGGTATTCATCCTTCACTTCGTCACACTGGTCACCTGTGATTGCTTGGTCCTATTATCCATGTTTATTCAATTCCATGCTTTTCCTTACCTGTCAGGTGAGGGTTGTTAGACTATATGTCAGCTGCCTTCCTCCTCCTCCTCCTCCTCCTCAACCGCCAGCTCCAGATGGCAGTGTTCCCCGCCGGACCTCAACCGCTAGCTTCGGCTGGCAGCGTTCCGCTGGACCTCAACCAGCACACAACCACAACCACACAATCACAAACACAACCACAAACACAATCACAAACACACAAATACAATCACAAACACACAGCCACAAACACAACCACAACACACAGCCACAACACGCAACCAAAAAGACACATTTGCAGCACACAACCACAACACACAACCACGATCATAGCACACAACCCGAGGACGTACAAACAAAGTCGAGAACCACAAAACTCACAACCATGGCAAGATGCTCCTCACCATGGCATGAAGACAAATGATTGAAATGTCATGGTGGGGATCAGTTTTGCTTTCTTTTTTTGGGCGATGTTTCTCCACCAAGAGCGGATCCCTTGCAGGGAAGAGCCACGTCTCCGGCTGGGCCACCTCGATCCGCTCCGCTCCCAGCCCCAAGGCCTCGCCGAACGGGTGTCTGCGGAGGCACTCAGATGCGCTCGGATGCACCTAGACCTCCGTCGCTTTCGGTTCAGCTGGCCTCCCCATGTAGGTGGTAGTCCAATTACAAAAACATCATAAAGTCGGAGTAGAGAGATGGAACTGGTTTATGACCCATCAGGCCTGGGGCGGTTGATTGTAAAGGGGTCTTTCTGGGGCGGCATATCTGTTTTTCCAGTTCTGTGGATGGTCTGGGGCTTGGAGCCGTGAGTGAACAGGGTGGGAAGCTGGACCGAGCGGTGTTCTTTTCCGATTCCAATCATGAGGTTTTTTCCTGGGCCCTCTATTGGACTGACAAGTACCTGCAATTAAGCTGACAAGTAAATTAGATCCATTAAGTGATGTTTTTATATGCGGTTTATTGAGTTGATGACGGAGCAGTGCGTGGTTCCATTGGGTGGGGATATGACCGCTCACCTCAAGAAGATACAATGTTGGTTTAAGTATGCAAGTTTCAATCATATGATGGCTCAGTGCCTCCAAGGGGTCATTGTGTGCTGGGTTCTTCATTCCGCTGTCATAGATATGCGGAAAATGCACGGTGACCCACAACGCCAGGCCACTAGCCAGACACGGTTTATGGTGGCCCAGGACCTTAGTGCCCCTGGCGGAGAGAACAGGCGCGCGTCAGAATGGAAAGACTGGGACCTTAAGTACTAGCTCTTGTCTTCCAGGGTGATGTTTATCTGCATAGACTCGAAAGTGCATCCGGATAAATGATGGTAAATTCCCCGGACAACTTAGTAGTTAGGTCACCAGTTTGGTTCCAAGATGAAGCAAACCAAGAGCACTCTTCCCTGCCAGTCCCAGGACCACTATCTAATAGAACTCCAGGTCTTGTGACTCTCCTGTGCCGAAGACTCGGTGACTCGTTCACTTGATGCCGAAGAGGCTCCGATGGCTTCAGTCGCCGGGATGCCGCAGGATTGTAGGATAGAGGTCCGATTGCTTGGTTTTTTGAGTATCCATCCAACCACACCTCCTACGGTACCAGCTGCCTCCGCCTGAGCCGCTACCAACTGGGTGCCCCAGGTTTCGGCGCAGCTGGAGGCAGAGGTGAGTGCCTTGGACGATGAGGAGGGGGACGTCACCGGAGATGACGCACCTGGAAGAGGAGGACTCACCGAGATCCATCAAGATCCTGAGAGTCCAAGTTCGACTCATTTTACCCCTACGAAAAAGGTCGTGGATTATGACTCCCTAGGCCCCAGGCGAGGTAGTTCATGAGTCAAAATATTGAAGTTCTGGGAGAGTGATTGACAAATTCCTTGCACAATTTAGTTGAGAATCACCACAAGGTCCTTCTCCGTTGTGAGTGGATCCACAACTTTCAGGGTCTTGTGTGATCTACAACTTTCCAGTCTGAGCCAAAGTTTATCAACGTTATGATTGTTCACATACGCAAACCAGACGCGGTCAGTCTGTTGCTTCTCAAGGGCCGCAACCTTCATCAAAGAATCAAAAGACTTCCAGCCTCGACTGACTGCTTTTTTGTTATTTCCGAAAGGAATCTAATTTTGGTTTGTGGATCGGAATGGGGGGCTGCTTGATGTGTTCGGGTGTCTCAGATAGGAGCACTTGCCACAACCGCCAGAGCCAATAGAGTCTAGAGTCTAGGGCTTGATCAAAGATGCGCTCACCAAGGTGTTCCCAAACGTTGCGCCCTTGGTACCTGATCTGCAAAGGGAAAATCCACCAGCGGCAGGTGGGAAACTTGGGTGACTCTTCACAAAGCACGTGTCAAACGAAGAAACCTCGACCCAACCGGATGCCCCAACCACGTCCGCGTCCGCGTTTTCCACGTCCACGCCGGGTTCTGCCAGGAGTTTCGGACTGAATATCTGGAATCCTACGGCTTGGATTGCAAGGGCCCGCGTGCGCTCACCCGAGTCCTGGTGGGAAGCCCAGAGGGCGAACTTCCTGTGCAAAAGGAAGCTAAGAGCGATGGTCTCCAACTAGGAGCAAGGACGCTACTAGGGGCTCCTGGCCTTACTACTAGGAACAAGAGGACACTGCTGGTAGCGCCATCGTGAAAGAGTTGGGTTTTCGGCCCAGACCATCCATGGGACGGACTGTGCACCTATATACATTGGGATCATTTGGGTGCGGGGGTGGTTGTTTTCCGGGGTCAATGTAGGTGAGCTTCCATACATGGATGGTATTGGCGGGAGAAAGTGATTTAATTTGACAGATTTAGGATTTGTTTGGGGTGAAAGAATCAATCGTCGTATCGGAGACCGGATTGGATAGCTGCAGAGGTGCCATGTGGAGCTTCTTGGGATTGCAGGAATTTAGCACCTTCATTTAGGCAGCAGAACCGAGTAGACCCTTGTAGTACTACGATGGACTATGTAGAGGGTGACTAGAGATGGTTTTGAACCTATGGGAGTACTCATGGGTTGTGTCCGTTAATTGAATTCAGTTTCCTTGTATTGAGAAAAGGGGAGGGGGCTAGAATCAGAGGCATTGAAAGCCTAGGCGCACAAGCCTGGTCTTTGCTGAGATTGTGTAGCCTTTTTCACCTGAGTACACGGACTTGGTCATGTGGCATTGAGGGTCATGTCTTGTCATGTCCCAGCATTGGCATCAACAAATTCTTCGGAGCGCCAAAACGGTGGATGTATCATGAAATGCATTGCAACCACAGCTTCGCCATGCTTCGCCCATTTTGGTGCCCTTTTGGTGGAATGCACTCAGGCGGAGAGTCAAGGCTTGCTGAAGCTGGTGTCATACTTGACAGTGGGAGAGCAGGAGGCGCAGCATCAAGCCCCCATGCGGAAGCCTCGAGCCTTGCGCCTGTCAGCGATCGCGCCAGGCACGAGCTTGGTTCGTACCCAAGGGCTCCAAAGCGCATGAGGCGTGCGACAC